ATAAATGAAATAAACATGGATAAAATAATTCCATTTTGAAAAAAAATTAAGTGTTAGCTTGAATGATCAAGCTGGCTTGTCTTCCAGGAACAATCACATACACTGTATGTAATGACCATACCGTTATTCTGAGGTCAGTGCAAATCTTCTTAAATGAGTGTTTGTTGACAGACGTTGTGACGTGTCACTTTTTACGTTGCGCATATTCTCGTACTGTTTTATATTTCCCCTTCCCACATTCATTCCACATATAAAGATTTTTGACAGTCTCAAAATCAACTGATCAGCAGTGCCCGCTTGCCTCGACTAGTCAACGTAGATGCCATATATTATAAAATTGCATATGTAGTTATGTAATACTAATATAACATTTTTTTTTTATAATTACGCAGCTTATGCAACTAATGCTTTAAATATATTAACTGTACAAACAAACTGGCCATCATGAGGGCTCTCAACAATGCCTTCTCCCATGAAAAAAATCTAATTTGCACAAGATCTATAATTCTGGGTGCCTAAATGCTTTCTTTATAATGTTTGTTTCTCTCATATTTGTAATTTGCTCAAAAACGTTCATTCACGTTCCATAGATTTCCAAACGATATAATGACAACACCCTAAGGGATATGATAGCTAGTCATGTAATACTCAACTATGACTCAATATCTACAGTTCACATAACATTATTCAAGTACAACAAAAAACAATGCTGATTTTTACCTCATTTGCAAACTGTCATCGTCGCTTAGCAGAGAATTCCAATCGTGTCTCAAATTGAACTCCTTATTTGTTTTGCCGGTATTCCGTTTATTGATACTTATCATTGTCCTGTGTCTTGGATAGTCCATGAAGAATGCACCAGATGAATTGGTTCGCTCAAAGATCAAGTAGTCTCTTCCGGCTTTATGTAAGAAATAACCTAACTGTAGTCCTGATGGTCCAGCACCAATTATGCAGTAATCTTTCTTCAAGGCTGGTAGGTTTGCCGTGCAGTTGATGGTTATGACCTGCATATACAGCCATAGTACCAAGACGATGTGTGGCAACATGCTTAAGATAAATGATTGTATTGCGAACTTGAATGCGTAGTAAACCTGTTAAAGAGAATAATCATTAAGAAATGAAAAGGCAATCGAAATCCATAGTCAAACGACCTCTGGTCAAAAAAAATACACCTATTCAGTATTGCAGTTTTCATGATGGTGGATTTACACTATATTACAGGACTGTAGATTCAGATTTTATTTGATAAACCGAATTGTAATTTGTACCTGATATATATTTGTTTCACGCATGTCTTGTGGTCATTTTTGTAGTTTGTATATATCACGGACTTAATTGATGGACCGTAATTGGTTGCGAACAGTTGTGAACAAAAGAATATAGCTTGAAATATAAATAAAAACTAAAATAAATTTAACACGAGTTAAAATGGTCGTGGCCGTGAAAAAAAACATTGCTTTTGGTGAGCAGGGAGTACTTGGTAATGGTAATGGTAATACTTTATGCAAATGAAAAAAAAACACAGAACGATTGTCGAAGTACCAAAAATTAAGTTTCCGACGTTGGTGTTTTCGTTTAAAGGCTACGATACGAATATCAGAAATGAACAAAATATCAAATTCATGAAGGATTTACTCATCTTGTGTAGCGTTATCCATTTCGTCCGAGCATTTTGTAACACCACGGCACATGTTCATGCTGACTGCAGTGAATGGCCACAATGTTTTCGTATGCATATTAATCTAGTGTCATTATATCGTTATTGCATATATGCCGTCTTACTGGCAAGTACAAATCAATTTCGCATTCACCTAAATAAATAACTTATTATATGCATGCAATGTATTTTGCGTCTCTTCGGAATTATAATGAAATAAATCTTGTTCATTGAAACTGGATTCAAATCCTTCTGTTGGATGTGAACATATAGCGTTGTTCACAGATGGCGTCACTAAGTATTATAGTCCATAAAAACGTTCGATTCGAATAAACAAATTAGTACACACTAATTAGAATAACGATAAACGTATTTATAACTTTAATAATAGATTAGCAAGGAATTGTTGTTAATACAATGTTAAAAGTCTATACACAAGTCATGGTTGTTCACATTTGATATATCGGACGCCAAACAAAATTCTATGGTTACATCGTGTAATTTGACACTGTCACTGATTTCGCAATTCTTGTCATTGAACAATGATAGTAATGAACTCGCATCAACATGAAAATGATGGTATTCTATCCACGATACAAGTCAACACGCAGTATAAGTTGTCAGTAAATCTCTGTACGATATTTCTAATGAGTATTCTACCTATGTATTGAGGTCTACTTCGAGATCAGTATTGTCAGCTGGTTGGTGCAAAGTATAGTACAATGGTTGGCATAAGAGTCTAGCATATACTAAAATGTAGGGTTCAAATCCCGTATTAGGCGACTAACAGTTATATCTCTTATATATATGATATATCTGTATTTGATATAAATACTTATAATAATATAATATAATACGATTATAAATACCTGCAGAGCTTGCTCAGTACATTCAGTCGTGTCGGTTATATCATGAAATTGGTTAGTGATGGTCGTATGGTTGTCTTATTCAGTTCCATGTAGTTGATCACAGTCGTATATTTTATCGCTCTGAGAACCCTTAAGTCAGCGTTTATTTTAACAACAAAACTGAAACGTAGTCTGACATGTATCAACTTGCTTTCTTTTCATTGATGTCACTGTAAATGCATAATCTAGAGATGTCGGAAACACGGTTGATGTGTACATGTTCAGTTAATTAGACAATAATGACACGATTCAACATGTTATACCATATACATATACATATAGTACAATCGATATTTTACTTTTACTTTATATTTTACTTATATTTTAACATTCCGCCATTACGTATTGTTCCTTTGTCAAGTTTGAATGTAACGAATGCACCAGTATATGTAGTTTGGTGTGAAGGATAACATACACATAATATTTATTGTTATTCTACTTATATACACACTGGTTATACACAAAACACATAAAGAGCCTAGCTAATGTTAGAGCGTTTAAACTAATATAAATAATGTTGTTGTTCACATGCGTGTATACGTCCTATAAGATCAATATCCAACACAAAACGCACCAACCTATGAATAATGTCTCACATTGCTATTTATTTGTAGTTTCTACAACACAAAATTCATGAACGATACATTTTATATACTCTGATCAGTAGTTATCCGAGGATTCGTTGAACTTTATGTCATTGTAAAATTCCGTTTACTGTACTGGAGACGTCAACATGCTTTTGTTTAATAGTTTGTCAGATCACTATTTCACAATAGACCTTAATCCAAAATAATTGAGTAGTCAACAATTTATTGAAACATCAATCTGTGAAACATTACTTATCCTAACGATAGTTGTTTAATCATATGCTTCAAAATATTAACATTGCCAAACTTGAGAGATTTTGCCAACATACACGATGTGAAGAATACGTTGTCAATATTATGATATAAACAAATAGTCACATGTTATGACACATTCTCTGACAGGTATAGACGAGGTAAGAATCCATTCACGCATGTCCACCAATGACAGCTCAGTGACAGAACTGTCAACATAGTTATATTACTGTATCTTTTTTCATGTTTTCTCTGCAAACAGTGTTCAAGTTATACATATACACTACTAAGGGACTGGACAGAAAGTACAGAGGGAGGTAGGTGGGTGTTTTTGGCTGTGGGTCGGTGATTTTCATGCAAGTGTTTAGGGGAGGGTCGCATTTGTGTGTGCAATGCAAGCCTCATGAGACCACAGTAAAAGTAGCCGAGATTTTATGCACAGTCTGGTTGATTGTGTCACCTCAACAAACACCTATTCGTATTACTCATTCAGCAGTTGTATTTACATTGAATGACATGATAACAAATTAGCTTATATTCAGAGCTTGGGAAACATAATATTTATGTACGAGTACTGCTGGATTAAAACACACAGATTTTACAAAATAGTAAGAAGTGTTTACAATACCAATAACCACTGTTTGTTTACATGTATTTTCGCGGATTGTAATTAATATGCAAATGTAACTTTTACTTTATTCATTACTCTGATAAATCAAATATGTTCTTTAAAATGTAATTATCCTATGCTATGATTATCCAGTGTAAGAGGAATTAAGGCCGTCATTAATATTTAATAATAATATTTGATCTAGTGGCGTGGCTAGCACCTTTCTACTCTAACTGTACAACTTATTGGTGGCTGTGCTGTGCTGGTATGCAGCCACAAGCATACCTATTTAACAAGCCATTTATAATTCCCTGTTGGAATTAGGGGAAATGTTATTCATTATGAAAATAAAGTTACAGACCAAAAGCATAGTCGGTAATTCAGAGTGAATAAATGGCTGGTCTAGTATCAGAAATTACAGGATAAGCTATTCATGCATTTTGTGTATCCAAACTAAATTTCCTTTGTCTGGGCCCATGTACAGAAATATAGTAGTATGGCCAAAAAGCATGATTGTATAATTTGAAGAGAAAAAAAAATTGTCATTTTGGATTCGAACACAAAACAAATCATCAAGGACATCGAGTTTGAACAGAAACCGACAAATCCTGTCGAAGAAACCACATTTTTCAAAAAAACAAGATGGATGCCAGTCGGTTATCTTTAATTATTATAATTTTTCGAGTCTTTCAATCATGAAATAAACAATCAATAATGCTTATTAACGTATAGTAGGAAGCAATATCTCATTATAGTTGACCTGTTGATCCTCGTCTCAATAGCCACTTTCTGAAAATATATGCCAGGAGAAGTTTCTTGTGTTATTAAGTTAAAGCGCTACAATCGTTGCATGTGATTGGGTATATGCCAGGATAAGTTTGTTGTGTCGTTAAAGTTAAAGCGCTACAATCGTGTCGCAGTGCATGTTCAAATTTCGTGAAAATATACAATGTATATTGCACGCCTGATATACATCACTATTGGAGGAGGCATCATTCCCACCAGCCACGAACGTGTGTGTGTGTGAAAACGCGTTTTGCATTACCAATGTTTGACGTATGACATTCACCATTTTGCATTGCTGCACTAGTGAGTTTGTTATTGCATGCATGTGCAATGGGTTATGGGAGAGTACTTCCTATTGTAAACAACTATTATCACACAGACAAATAACCAAATAACTATTTGAGTAAACCATATCCTGGGTTAGTGTGCTGCACAGGGGATTCATACTATAACGAATGTGAACTTGGGGGACCTTGGTTAAGGTCAACATGCGTTTCTATTCTACGTGGTCTGGTTGACACCAGACTACAAGGACATATAAAAGATTGGAATGGGCTTTCTGCACTATATATTAATTTTAATTAAACAGGAGAGACAGGAGAGACAGCAGTGATATTGAATATCTAAAAATGTTAGCTAGCGCAACAGTAGTTGAACAAAATGTGTATAGATCGATTTTAAGCATTTTGTTACTTGAAATGTGTAATTAGACTAATGCCCGATTTGCAAACACCCGTTTACCAAAGGGGAAACAATAATAAGGTAGGTGACTATCCCATTCCTTCTTATTTCACGACATTTATTCAGGGTATGGCCACACGCTTCTTAATACATCGATAGATCTCTGCAGGTATTGTGATCATATTATGACATCAATAATATCATGTAACACATGTAAATACTAAAACTCATTCATCATGCTAAATCAAGACACTTATACCTATCCAATTCAATTCAGAGTAAAATAGAACTATAGCAACTTCACTGTTTATATTCATTTATTTTTATTTTTTATTCCTATTTTTAATTGCATCTCGTTATGTGTAACAGATACGCTTTGTAAATTGTAAGCTAAGACACATGGCAAATGTAATATTGGGAACACATTCGCTCACTTCCATTACTTAACGCACATCGAGCTGGTGGTTCGAGGCATCCCAATCATATATTAATACCGTCAGTATCTCATGAATGTTTTGTCCTGTTTCAGCAGTTCTACTACACAATTATATTGGTAATTTTTTGTTGCAAGCATGTTGCCACACATCGTCTGGTTGATATGGCTGTATATGCAGGTCATAATCACCAACTGCACGACAAACCAACCAGAATTAAAGAAAGATTACTGCATAATTGGTGCTGGACCATCAGGACTACAGTTAGGTTATTTCTTACATAAAGCCGGAAGAGACTACTTGATCTTTGAACGAACCAACACATCTGGCGCATTCTTCATAGACTATCCAAGACACAGGACAATGATCAGTATCAATAAACGGAATACTGGAAAAACAAATAAGGAGTTCAATTTGAGACACGATTGGAATTCTCTTCTAAGCGACGATGACAGTTTGCAGATGAGGTAAAAATCATCGATGTTTTTTGTTGCACCTAAACTATGTTATCGATCTGTTGATATATGTTGATAGCAGTGTATGACGAGGTATGATACTCCCAGATTAATGGATCGTTTGGAAATTAATGGTGGAATGAAGTGTGTAAAAAATTGTCAGAACAAATAACAATTATGAGAAACAATAAAGAATATAATTAGGGCACACGGAATTACAGATTTCCAGGTGAACTAGAGTTGTTTTTATGTGAGCGAAGATTGTTGTGTACCCTCAATGTGACCAATTCAGTGTATACAGTTAAAACAATCGAAGCATGAGTTTGTCGAAATACTAATAAAAATAACATACTGGTATGATATAAATGTATATGCACTACAATGGTGCGATCGGATTATATATGGCATCTACATTGGCTAGTCATATTGATGAGGCGGGCATGCTTCCATGATCAGCGCTTATGAAATGAATGTGGGGAGGGAAAAATAAGTATAGAGTAGAAGTTTATATACAATGTCAAACATATACGCCAACAAACAAGCTGTTTTCTGATTCGTCTGTCTGTTAGACACATTCATGTAAGCAGCTTTGCACCGACCTCCGAATAACGGTACGATAATTAAAGACAGGGTATGTGATTGTTCCTGCAAGAAAAGTCATACAAGCTTGTTTCACAGAGTGTAAATTTGAAGACATAAGAATAAGAATGACAACAAATCAGGATCACTGGAATTTACATTTGTTCCTATATTTCACCATGCTATTTTTATTATTTTACAGACATTATTCTCACGATTTCTTTCCACATGCTGATGTTTTTGTGAAATATCTTCAAGATTACACAGAGAAGCATGGTATCAATGTCAAGTACAATACCAACATTGTGAACGTCAAACGACGAGACAAATTTGAATTTCAAATGCAAGACCAAAGTAACAATACATATGACTGTGGGTAAGTTATCATTATATTTTTAACAATGTCTGTGGAACAACAGATAGCTGTTGATAGAATTATTCTTGTCTTCTTTTTCATGCGACCACTTGAGATTCAGAACGAAGTGAGTGTTTTTCACGGAGGGGTTCTCATTTTGTTATCTCACTTAAGTGAGTTGCATTGAGTTGCATGGACACTGTGAACGCAATAAATGACAGAGGATGCTACATATTCCTCACATAATTGACCACTAGTCCTAGGATTCGGTATATATGACATCAAAATATGATGCCAGCACAGCTAGAAAAGTATCAATGCAATCTCTTGTTCTCAAATAATAACGCAATTGATCCAAACTTTAATAAAATCAACTTACTATTTTTATGTGCGTACAACATAGAGTCTAATGTGGCCTGAAATTTAAATAGACTTACTGAGCCAGTACATATGGCTAAAACGATTTACAGTAATTAACTAAAAGTATGTCTCTATTGCATTTGCTATTGCCCCGACGACTAACAACAACATCACACACATATGTGTGCTAGCTTCTAATATATAGTATATATAGTGTGATAAGTTCATAATTTAGTAAACAGCACAATCAATATTATTCATTAAATTCAGTCAAAGGAGTAACCTTGATCATGGAATTTTTAAATGTCCTGAAATCTTTGCTTTTACAATGCTGAATTTTGCTAAGTCTTTTTTTTTGTATTTTTTACTCAGAACTGTGATTGTTGGAACCGGCTTATCTCTGCCAAATATTCCCCATTTTAAAGGGGTTGAACATACAGTGGGATATGAAGACATGTCGATGGATAAAGCAGATTATGAAGGGAAGACGGTATTGATAATGGGGAAGGGGAATTCAGGATTTGAGACTGCTGATTATATCATGAGTGCAACAAATTTTATACACATGTTTTCAAGAACACCATACAAATTAGCTTGGAATACGCATTACGTGGGAGTTTTGAGGTTAGTTCCTTGCAAGTATTACATGACATAATATGAACATTATTGACAGAATAAGCATCTGCCGCCCATGCAAACTAAACTTCTTAGGGGGTTAGAATACGTGTAATGTGGTTAGGACAATATATATGACTGTGCTTTTATTCTATACAAAAACTCAACTTTATAAGGCTCATTTCAACGTTTTTTTTTATTTCTGAACATTCCACGTGCGATTCTCTATAAACACAATCACAAAAAGTAATCCTAATTGACACTTGATGAAAGATCCGATTTGCATATCAATACTACAAAGTTGATTTACGTACAATACTCATTTCGTCCAACCTTCCGCTTTTACTTCTGCTTCACCTTCCGCTTATTGCTTAATTTCCGACCGCGCGGTCTTGTCCGACCGGAAACCGACCGCATTTTAATCGTTTTTTTCGCTCGCTCATTGAAAACACCGACCGCTCGCCCAAACACTCATCACTGACACATGAGTGGTTTTGATAGTAAAGTGTGAAACACAACTAGTATTGCACAACTATTATTAAATTCTGGCATGACACTTGTTTCGTGAAAGCAACTGAACCGGGACATCTTGTTACGTCTTTTGGGTGCTTGTTCTAAATGTAATATTTTATTTTCATGAGACAGTTACGTGAAAAAACAATATGTAACTCATTTTGACAGAGCAGAGAAACGAGGAAAATGTAAATGATTTATTCCAAAAATAACGATACCAAAACCACGTCGGTCTAAAGGCGGTCGGTCTGTTAAAATTTGACATCCAATTTTCAAAATGAAGTCACGATCAGTAAATGAGCTCGATCTATACTTACCGTAAAAGTATTTACACAAACACTATTTTAGACAAAAAACGGCCACATGCTCTGAAAAAAATCGGACAGAGCTTAACATATATGAATAATTTATTGGGGTTAAAAAAACACGTTTCAAATTTAGTTATAGCCATAAATATTTGGTGGCCAGTCGATGAACAATTCGAAAATCAAGATTCTTACGGAAGTCCTTCAGGGTTGAAAATCATCGACCCTACTCTGTTTAACCTTATTTCACACTTTTGAAGCATACTGATAGTCCGTGGACTATAATGTATCTCAGCCGAGTTTCATTTTGAACTGAGGTTAAATCCCACCCGTTTGTCAAAATATACCGATGTTTTTCAGTGAATAATTTGAAGCCTGTCATGACACACAAAAACTCTATGAATCGACGAGAAATTTGTTTGATTGGAAATTGGATGGTACGAAGACCCTTAATTAGCGTCAAATATGCTTTGTTACAACATCATTGATTGGCTGAAAGTCACCTGATCGGAGTACGACCTGGGTCACATAACCATATTTGTCCGTATTATCAACAGAACTTTGCGACAGAACCACATCCACATTTTCAACTATTTTTAGCGCGGATGTTCCCAACAAATGTCGAAAAACTCATGAATTTCATAGATTCGAATAAAATAGCGATTGCTAAGAATGGTTTTTAACCTATTCCCCGATGATCTTCGAATTTTTATTTTGTTTGATTTCAAGGTGAAAATTGCTAGTTGAAGTTGTATCAGGGGGAAAATTCTTCTCTCTCTGGGTTCTCTGCACGTGTCAGGCGAGAATCTCGTCTCGTCTCTATATCGCGTCCCCTTGAGGTATGGGATCGGGAAAGTCACTTATACTTTACAGTCAAATAAGTCATACACAACGTTTCAGCTCTCGTCTTAGTCGGTCAATCGAGCACTCTATAAGACACGGCGCCCTGGGGAAAAATCCCCAAGACTATCGCAAGGCTGATCCAAGACTCTCTTAGACTGCGTCAAGGTTCGCCCCAAGTCTCTCCAGGACTGCTCTAGACTGTGTCTCTCGTGGTGTACTCGTCAAGACCAACTCAAAACTCTCTTTATTCATTTTCAAAACTCTAACCAATTACAAAACAGAAAAAAGACTCTAGGGCGTAACTTTCAATCATAAAGCCAATCACACTAAGCACTGAATACGTCATATCTTTTGATTAATCGTTCACTACATTACTAACTATGAATATAAACTGTCAGAATGAATAGTCTGAATAGCGGCGGTTATCTGGTAATTAGTTCCAAATCACTGAGCCAAGTTCCGTCCAAAACTTCAAATAGGCCTAAACGATGACAGACATAACACAGCAATTCAGCTAATAATCAGCTAATTAAGTCGGTCAACAGATACGCAAAAACAAATTCATGACAGTTGCATCGACTACAGGGCGACTGTTTCACCGCGAACAACTCTACTTGTTTAATTATTTGGGTTTTCAGCCCACAAATTACGGGACATGATACCATGAATGACGGTCAATGTTTGTTCTGTCTCGGCTGATTGTGTTGAATGCCGGACGTCGGGACCGACGCCCGTCCTAAACTCAGTAAATGGAGAAACCAACGAGGATCGATATTCCAAACAAATTATTGGGACATTATCGACAGACATTTCAAACAAATTATAAACAAAAGACGAGATTTTTCAGGATAATTACAAAGTTAACATACTGTCATGACAAACTTAATATAAAATTAACAAATACTCAAAGAGGTGTAATATTACGTTTTATTTTAGGGTTAAACATATTTTCTTTCACTCAGTCCATGCATGGGACTCATGGTCCTTCAGCTTATCTTCGCCTTGGGAAAATAATAATAATAATTATACAAACCGTAAATACATTGCGAAGACTCAGCAATCAGGAAACAAAATCCAGACAACCACGTCGTACTTATG